GTGTTAGATGTACTCACGTTCAATGCAGTGACCGCACGTGTTAGATGTACTCACGTTCAATGCAGTGGCCGCACGTGTTAGATGTACTCACGTTCGTGGCCGCACGTAATAGATGTACTCACGTTCGTGGCCGAACGTGTTAGATGTACTCACGTTCAATACCGTGGCCGCACGTGATAGATGTACTCACGTTCGTGGCCGCACGTAATAGATGTACTCACGTTCGTGGCCGCACGTGTTAGATGTACTCACGTTCAATACCGTGGCCGCACGTAATAGATGTACTCACGTTCGTGGCCGCACGTGTTAGATGTACTCACGTCCGTGACCGCACGTGACAGATGTACTCACGTTCAATGTCGTGGCCGCACGTGTTAGATGTACTCACGTCCTTGGCCGCACTTGATAGATGTACTCACGTTCGTGGCCGCACGTGTTAGATGTACTCACGTCCATGGCCGCACGTGTTAGATGTACTCACGTTCGTGGTCGCACGTGTTAGATGTACTCACGTTCGTGGCCGCACGTGTTAGATGTACTCACGTTCAATGCCGTGGCCGCACGTGATAGATGTACTCACGTTCAATGCCGTGGCCGCACGTGATGGATGTACTCACGTCGTTAGCCGTACGTGATAGATGTACTCACGTTCAATGCCGTGGCCGCACGTGATAGACACACTCACGACCAGGCCTAACCTCACCCACCACTGCCATCTGCTGTTGTGGACTTGGGCAAGGCTTACAGGCGAGGATCGTCTTAGATTTAAAGCCACTTAACCAGGTTAGGCTTTGTCGTGTGCCTTAGATTAGCAGATAACCAAGTTGACACGTGACTCGTAGGCGTGGCAAGTGCTGTCAATCACAGAGAAGTTGACATAGTTTCCTGGGGGAAATTACGCCTTCAACAAAAATTCACTCCAAAACAATTTACAATCTATTTTATAAGATTTTTTCAAAAGCTTCATTAAAATGTTTGCGGTTTTATAAAAACACATAACTTGAAGTGTTACATGGGAAAGTTTTCGATCTGATAAAAAAACACATCACATAATCAGTTTTAAATGGAAAAGTATGCGGTTTGTTAAAAACACATCATATATTCACAAGAATTTTCACATTGAATCAAGTCTTCAAGAAGTTGTCAGAAAAATGAAATTCTCACCACATAAAGCTCTTGCTATGGTCAACATAAAAACAAAGCTGTTGCTATGTTCACCATATAAATAAAACTATTGCTATGGTCACCATATAAACAAAGCTGTTGCTATGGTCACCATATAAACAAGAAGCTATTTTGCTCATCACATTTAACAGGTATGTGTCCTTATCAAAAGGTAAACAATGCCAGAGCTTAAAGCTCCAGCTCCGCACCAGAAACTGCTCGTCACGTGACCAACCTCTCGGCAGACGTGAAGCAGACGAACTCTTCAATCCCATCTAGCACGCGTGTACCCCCCCCCCACCACCCCTCACGACTTACCACGCGCGTGTACCCCCCCCCCCCTCCCCACAACTCACCAGGTGTGTGTCTGTTTCTATCGCTCTAATTGATGCCAAAAGCAAACACGGGAATCACGCGATAACGACCAGCCTGACCCGCATCTCACCCCCCCCCCCCCACAGTACCTGCTCGCATATAACCTCAACACTACATGCTCGACCCCCACCCCCCACCCTCCATTCACTACCCACCGAAGACTGCTGTAGGTTTACGTGAACTTTTATAAAACTTCCACGAGGGGCTCTATATAGATGTAAACACCATTCAAATATAACTTTCTAAAGATGTAAGCACCATTCAAATATAACATTCTGAAGATGTAAACACCATTCAAATATAACATTCTGAAGATGTAAACACCATTCAAATATAACTTTCTAAAAATGTAAACACCATTCAAATCTAACTTTCTAAAGATGTAAACACCATTCAAATATAACTTTCTAAAGATGTAAACACCATTCAAATCTAACTTTCTAAACATGTAAACACCATTCAAATATAACTTTCTATAGATGTAAACATCATTCAAATATAACATTCTGAAGATGTAAACACCATTCAAATATAACATTCTGAAGATGTAAACACCATTCAAATATAACTTTCTAAAAATGTAAACACCATTCAAATCTAACTTTCTAAAAATGTAAACACCATTCAAATCTAACTTTCTAAAGATGTAAACACCATTCAAATCTAACTTTCTAAAGATGTAAGCACCATTCAAATCTAACTTTCTAAAAATGTAAACACCATTCAAATATAACTTTCTATAGATGTAAACACCATTCAAATATAACTTTCTGAAGAAAAAATACTATTGAAATATAACTTTCTGAAGATGTAAACACCATAAAATATAACAACAGTTCTAGCTTTGGGCTACACGTGTAGCAATCTAGCCACAGGCTACTCACGGCTCTCTGGGTCAACAGGTCATCCTTAAAGTCGCCACAGGATGAGCGGCCATTGGCGTGATGACCCAGCACGTGCCGGCACGTGCTGCTGATTAGTTGAGCTGATTTAAGCTCACACGTGGGAGCTACGCTGGGTTTATCAACTCAACTTGTGTGGGTATTGTATGGGTGTAGTGTGGGGGAAGTTTGACAAGTTGTGTGAGTATTATGTGGGGCGGAAGTGTGTGGAAAGGTTGATAACAAATTTTGTAAGTATTGAGTGTGGCTGAAGTGTGTGTGAAGTTTGATGACAATGTGGGTTCAAATCTAGTGAGTTAGTTTCTTAACTGCTTATGCAAGTATTAAAATGTTAGAAAAAATTGTTCGCTGCTGACTTCAAGACATGCTGGTCATCAAATATCGTAGCATTTTTTTTACAAAACTTTGGCAACTATTTTGTTTTAGACAGATATTGTCAAGAAATTTTGACAACGTGGATGCCAAAAAAGGACAGCATATTTTCAATAAATTCCGCCCAAATTTCTCACAAATCTCGCAAGAACTCACACAAATCTCGTCCAGATCTCATGCAAATCTCGTCCAGATCTCACACAAATCTCGTCCAGATCTCACACAAATCTCGTCAAGATCTCACACAAATATCGTCCGAATCTCACACAAATCTCGCCCAGATCTCACACAAATCTCGTCCAGATCTCACACAAATCTCGTCAAGATCTCACACAAATCTCGTCCAGATCTCACACAAATCTCGTCAAGATCTCACACAAATATCGTCCAGATCTCACACAAACCTCGTCAAGATCTCACACAAATCTTGTCCGAATCTCAAACAAATCTCGCCCATATCCCACGAGAACCACGAAATGGCTGCTGCTGACGTAATGAAAGATAAAACACCGCGGGTCGTCGAGTGCGTTGATTGGCCAACTGCAGTCACGTGATGTTTATCTAGGTCAGTTTCTCCCAGGTATCTCTGCCAAGAGTTGACCTACTTTAGGCGAAATTTAGAACCAGAATCTTTTTATCCCCCCCCTCCCCCCCCCACCACACACACACCCTCACCCATGCTGGACACTTCTGACTATCTGAAGAGAGTGAAGGATAGCTCGGGCAGTGTTTGTTGTGTCGGGGTCCTCCGGTGGGGGTGGTGTTTGGGTTGGTTGTGTGTAGTGTGTGTGTGGGTGGTGTGTGGGTGAGTGCTGGGGGTGGGTGTGGGGGAGTTTTGATGTATTTGGGTGTGTAGGTGGTGTGTGGGTGGGTTGTGGGTAGTATGTGTGGATTGCATGTGAGTGGGATGGTGTGTTGGTGTACTTGGTTGTGTGTGAGATGGTGTGGGTGTGTGTGGTGTGTTGGTGTATTGGTTGTGTGGGTGTGTGCGGAGTCCGTCCACTACCACCACGTAAACACCAAACACCGACAATCTGCGGGTGACGTAAACAAACGCCCGAGCAGAAACAAGATTTCGCTGGGAAAAATATTTATTTAACCCCCCCCCCCCCCCCCACACACACACTTCCTTCTGCCTTATTAAATCGCAAACGTTTGGCGTAAAAACATGCACAATGAAGCTGGTCACAGCAAAACAAGTGCAAACAGTTTAAGTACATTTATATTCCAATAAGACAGCGGACTATTGCATACTGTGATTTTCATGCTTGTTTTTTAAAAAACTGAGTCTGTCCCTAATAGTTCAGGTAATAGACCAGAGACTCTGTCCCTAATAGCTCAGGTATTAGACGAGATACTCTGTGCCTAATAGTTCAGGTAAAAGACCATGTACTGGGTCTGTCCCTACTAGCTCAGGTAAAAGACCAGATACTTCTCTGATAGAAAAAGATCCCTACGTCAACATGGTCTATCTGATTATTTACAGAGGAACCTGTCGATATCGATTGAGTTTTTTGCTTTAATGTGTTAATGTAACGCACCTTCTCTGCCCCCGCTCCCATGGTATTATTGCTTTAATAATTTAACACGACGCACGTGCAAGATTTAACTAAGCGCTTTATGCTTATCAAATATTTATCATTTGTTACAATTGTAGGGTGGAGTTCAAGTTAGGGTTGGGATGGAGGGTTTGGGAAGGAGGGGGTTGGGGTTGGGATGGATGGGTTGGGATGGAGGGGTTGGGATGGAGGGGTTGGGATGGAGGGGTTGGGATGGAGGGTTTGGGAAGGATGGGTTGGGATGGAGGGGTTGGGATGGAGGGGTTGGGATAAATGGGTTGGGATGGGATGGAGGGGTTTGGATGGAGGGGTTCGGATGGAGGGGTTCGGATGGAGGGGTTCGGATGGAGGGATAAGTCGAGCAATGTTTAGAGGGAGAAGATTGATAGGGATAGATAGATATGTCTGGAGAGAAGACGAGGGATTGATTGATGGGAATTTAAAGGGAAGTGTTTGGGGAGGGGTGGGATGGTTTGAAAGACAGAGAAGCTGGAAGAAGGGTAGGAGAGAGAGAGGGCGGGGGGTTAAGAGGAGGGAGAACTAGTGAGAGTGAGATTGGATGCTGGGTGTGGTGATGTTGAGAGAGACGTTAACAACCTAGATGTTGAGAGACATTTCAACAACCCACCTGACAGCAGGTGCATGTCCTGTTCCAGGTTGGTGTTCAAGGACATCTGACGCATCATGACGCCGCGTCGCAGGGAAATCCTCTCCCTCCGTGCGCTAGTCTCGCCCGTCCCCCCACGTTTCGGCGCATGCCCGTGGGTCCGCTGGTCAGGCTCCCCGGCCCCCGTCTCGAAGTTGGCCACTATACAGATGGTCCGGCACTCCGAGTCGTCCACGCCGCTGTAGCACTGGTCGATGGTCACGTAGTCCGGCAAACGCCGGTCGCTGTTGAATCCCTGGTGAAAACCGGCAGAGCAGCACGGTTGCGGGCAGGGCTTAGGGTAGGCCTGTCGAGCCGGTTCTGCCGGTTCTCTGTAGTGGTTTTGGTGCTGAGATTCTCTCCTCGGCTGGGATTTGATCTCAGGGCCGGGGGAGTTGTGGCTGGTCTGGTTGCTATGGCAACCGTCCTGTCTCGGCTCCCCACAGCTGGACTCGCATTTGACCGCGCACTTGGCGGGGAACCCGATGCAGCCTTTCAGCGTCCCCGTCCGGGGTGACGCCTCTGTCTTGTCTTTTGATGAGATGTTTTTGTTGCTGTCGACGCTGACAAGTGTCTCAACATCGCTCGGTGTTTTGTCCTTTGCCCGGAACTTGTCATTATTTAGGACAGGGCTTGTGGCAAGTCGGACAGAGCTTGAGTCAGAGGTGGCATAATGGGCATTGGCAAGATGGGCAGGTGGGAGGTACCACTCGCACAGCGTCTCGTCCACGGAGGGCGAGTCGACAAATTTCAAGGTACACAGCTCGATGTTATGCTCTAGGAGCGGCTCCTCGCAAGATGGGGCTGAGCGGCTCATGGCTCCACTGGTCAGCCCTGTGGGCGGGGCGCCGGTCACATGGACAAGTTGCACCGAGTGCCTGTACGGCTGCGGGAAAACCCGGTCGGTGGGCAGCTGGCTGAGAGTCTTCTTCAGGCAGCTCTGGATCTCGCTGGGTTTGCTGCGCTGGGTGGGGTAGAGCTCGGAGCTTCTGGAGCCCTTGACACGAGCCCTGGCGAGGGCTGAGACGAGGGGCTTCCCCGCCCGCTGGTCGAGTGAGACGAGGGGCTTCCCCGCCCGCTGCTCGTGTACCTGCTTCACGCCCCCGTCCTCAGCGAAGGCGACCCGCGTGAACCTGACGACCGGGCCGGTGTCTTCTGGGATGCCAAGCTCGTGCCTGCCGCCCACGTGAATGCCACTGTCGCAGAACTCCTCATCCCAGTCAGGGGAGAGAAGCGAAAGCTCATCTGTGAAATCAAAGGGAAATAATTAATCAAGGGAGATAAGAGAAGTTTCATCTGAAGAAAAAAGGGAAATAATTCGTATCATGTTACATCCTGAGTTGTTAATTTAAACTTAAAAGAACAAAGGTACACAATTACACAAGCATTCAGTTTTCTTATCAAAAGGCGCGACATGAGTCTATTCCTGTACGAGGCAACACCAACTTTATAATTACTACATTTACATACATAATTACAACATTTCCAACCAGATTAGCATAAAATTTACATCAACAGGATTTTAACAAGTACGATCAAACATGAACACAACTTTAAAATATTCTGGTCGGGAAGATAGGGCTTTAAATTTCGGACATCTAATCAATGAAAATTTATGGTCAGACTTTCATGTTTCATTCAATTTTTTAGATAAAACGTAAGCTGTCGTTTCGATATACGTCGTCCGCGAATCAATGACGACTTAATCTGTGTATCTAGTTGACAGAAAATATGAAATGTTTGTTTCACGGAGGGGGCTAATGTTTACAGTCGGCGTGTAGTGGCGTCACTCGAGTGGAGTGGCGTCAGTGGAGTGTCGTGGCGTCACCCGAGTTTAGTGGCGTCACCCAAGTAAAGTGCCGAGTGACGCCAAAAATGATGTTCACCAAAATTGTAAATAAAAAAACGAGCAAGATGTTCAGGCAAGTGGGCTTTTGTTACGTCGCTTGTCATGGTAAAGTCACCTTTCACCTCTGACCTTTACCTTCAGACATTACTTCACGTGAATCCATTATAAGTGAGAGCTACTGCCCTCAGGATATTAATGTCTTAGGTGAAGATAGTGGTTATGGTTAGGGCAGATAACTGTTCTTATTCCGCACACATACATACACACTCAAACACGCACATACACATTTACCAACACAACCACACATACACACGCTCCAAGCACACAAACATACACTGAAACGTTTTTTCCTACTTGATGAGACCACGTGACAAGGAAATCAATGAGGCTGACAGATTAAGCCAAGCTTCAAACAAAAATAATGTCATAGATACGTCAGGGAAAGTAGTTCGGTCAACAGTTTAGGCCGGCTGTTTATGACGTCTGTCTGGACAGTCTACCTGCTGTCTGGACAGTCTGTCTTGGACAGTCTAGCTGCTGTCTGGACAGTCTGTCTGGACAGTCTACCTGCTGTCTGGACAGTCTACCTGCTGTCTAGACAGTCTACCTGGACAGTCTACCTGCTGTCTGGACAGTCTGTCTGGACAGTCTACCTGCTGTCTAGACAGTCTACCTGGACAGTCTACCTGCTGTCTGGACAGTCTACCTGCTGTCTGGACAGTCTGTCTGGACAGTCTCTCTGCTGTCTGGACAGTCTGTCTGGACAGTCTAGCTGCTGTCTGGACAGTCTGTCTGGACAGTCTACCTGCTGTCTAGACAGTCTACCTGGACAGTCTACCTGCTGTCTGGACAGTCTGTCTGGACAGTCTACCTGCTGTCTGGACAGTCTACCTGCTGTCTAGACAGTCTACCTGGACAGTCTACCTGCTGTCTGGACAGTCTGTCTGGACAGTCTACCTGCTGTCTAGACAGTCTACCTGGACAGTCTACCTGCTGTCTGGACAGTCTACCTGCTGTCTGGACAGTCTGTCTGGACAGTCTCTCTGCTGTCTGGACAGTCTACCTGCTGTCTGGACAGTCTACCTGCTGTCTGGACAGTCTGTCTGGACAGTCTACCTGCTGTCTGGACAGTCTACCTGCTGTCTGGACAGTCTACCTGGACATTCTACCTGCTGTCTGGACAGTCTGTCTGGACAGTCTACCTGCTGTCTAGACAGTCTACCTGGACAGTCTACCTGCTGTCTGGACAGTCTACCTGCTGTCTGGACAGTCTGTCTGGACAGTCTCTCTGCTGTCTGGACAGTCTACCTGCTGTCTGGACAGTCTACCTGCTGTCTGGACAGTCTGTCTGGACAGTCTCTCTGCTGTCTGGACAGTCTACCTGCTGTCTGGACAGTCTGTCTGGACAGTCTACCTGCTGTCTGGACAGTATACCTGCTGTCTGGACAGTCTCTCTGCTGTCTGGACAGTCTGTCTGGACAGTCTCTCCGCTGTCTGGACAGTCTCTCTGCTGTCTGGACAGTCTACCTGCTGTCTGGACAGTCTACCTGCTGTCTGGACAGTCTGTCTGGACAGTCTCTCTGCTGTCTGGACAGTCTACCTGCTGTCTGGACAGTCTACCTGCTGTCTGGACAGTCTGTCTGGACAGTCTCTCTGCTGTCTGGACAGTCTGTCTGGACAGTCTACCTGCTGTCTGGACAGTCTACCTGCTGTCTGGACAGTCTACCTGCTGTCTGGACAGTCTGTCTGGACAGTCTCTCTGCTGTCTGGACAGTCTCTCTGCTGTCTGGACAGTCTCTCTGCTGTCTAGACAGTCTGTCTGGACAGTCTACCTGCTGTCTGGACAGTTTGTCTGGACAGTCTGTCTGGACAGTCTACCTGCTCTCTGGACAGTCTGTCTGGACAGACTGTCTGGACAGTCTACCTGCTGTCTAGACAGTCTACCTGCTGCCTGGACAATCTACATGCTGTCTGGACAGTCTACCTGCTGTCTGGACAGTCTACCTGGACAGTCTACCTGCTGTCTGGACAGTCTACCTGCTGTCTGGACAGTCTAGCTGCTGTCTGGACAGTTTACCTGCTGTCTGGACAGTCTACCTGCTGTCTGGAAGTCTACCTGCTGTTTGGACAGTCTGCCTGCTCTAGACAGTCTGCCTGCTGTCTAGACAGTCAACATAGCCAGAAAATTGTGATAACACATAGTAATAGAAAGACGAATGTCTTATTGTTTACAAGAGTACACAATGAAACTTAATGTTGACTATACGAATGTACAAAAAAAAAAAAAAACTCGAGAAATTAAGTCACTGGGGGAAAAAGTCACGGAAAAAAAAGACAAAAGATTAAATAATATTAATTGAAAAAAAAAACCCACTCCAATTTTGATAACGCGCAAGATTTTAAATTTATCAGTTAAATCTGTACTGAAAATGTTTTTAACTTTTTCTCTGTAACTGTTTCTGGCACCTTTTCTGTTACATTTTTGCGGTAAGATTTTTTACTTTTTTCTTTTGCGACTTTTTTCTGAAACTATTTTTCGGTGAACGGAAAAAAATTCACAGGAAAAAAAAACACAGAAAAAAGTCAGTTTTTGCTAGTAAAAAAGGCACAGAAAAAAAGTCACAATGGAAAAATTTTATCGGAAAAAAAGTCACAGAAATAAAGTCATAGAAAAAAAAGTCACAAAAATATTTTTAAAAATATTTTGATTTATTTGTTAAGAATTGTAAAATTTTGTATGTTTATTATTGTGGGTTGTATTTTTTTATAGCATAAATTTTTTATAGACGTTAAAAGCATTATGGTTTATAACAATTGTAAATACAAATACTCTAAGATAATTTACACAACAATCTCAACTTTTGTTACGTATTTAGTTAAATACGTGGTAGAAAAGTTAATTCTAAAACAAATTTAGGCACATCATTGTGTTTTGCATATGTTTTGCCGTAGGCTATTCTCTGGTCGGCCTCTCCTCAGTCGGCCTTGTCTGAACATGTTGTGTGTTGGTCAACCTTTGAACCTTGTCGGCTTTCTGTTTTGATCCTAAGTTTTGTTATGTAATGAGCGTGATAAATGTGGGCAGTAAAGGTGGTTGAACTAAACATAACTATTGTTGCCATGAGTTGAGGGCAGCAAGTCAGATGAACTTACCATTTCACGGTAATTTAATATTAGTATTTTAAAAGAACAAGATGAAAACCGAGGACGTTGGAACATTTTATAAATGCTATTAATATTATGTTTAACATAATTACAATCTACAAACATCATACAAAATATTTTTAGATGAATTATAAAAATTACCATGCGCATACAACATACACACATTACATTACATTTAGTTAATCCTAAGTTAATTTGCACTCTCTGTATATTTAATACATAAAATTCCACGCAAATATATATTTGTGTTTTTTTTTCCTGTGACTTTTTTCTTGTGACTTTTTTTTCTGTTTTTTTTTTCCTGTTTTTTTTTTCCTGTGACTTTTTTCCTGTGACTTTTTTTCCTACAATCGTTTTTTCTCTCACCAAACAGCCACCACTTTTTCTCTTACTCTAGACGCCCTCCCCAACCCCATTTACTCAACGTGCTCCCGAGGCTACTCACACATCGTATAACTCTATTCCTCCCACCCTCCTCCCCTCCCTCCTCCGGCGGTCCATTCACCAATTGACAGTATTTACCTCAAACATGGCCGCACCGTGTCTATATTTGACTAGCACAACCACCGCCACAACCACAGAATGTACACAGACCACACGTGGCTACTACACCTTATACTTCCGGTAGCCATGTTTATTTTGGTAGCCAGTCCCGACAAAAAAATCAATTAATGATGTAATACTTGTCGATACTGTTTGTCATGTCTGTGTCTGATCTGTATGCTGGATAGATTCTATGTTGTATCCTAAGTGTATGTTGGTGTTGTAGATGATATGTTGTATCCTGGGTGTATGTTGGTGTTGCAGATTATATGTTGTATCCTGAGTGTATTTTGAGTAATTACATATTGGTGTAATAAATAAAAGATGGATTGGATAATGTCTGACGATAAAAATCGAATCCGTCCATTATAGGACCATTACAGCCAAGAAATATATTCACCGTTCTGGTATTACTGCTGGATGTGTGTGTGTGGGGGGGGGGGTTGTTAGATGTTGCACATGGGCCAGCTGATGGAAGCTCTCCTTTCATCAGGGCTGCATTCTCAGCTGTTGATGGGTCCTGGGAAATATTTCCGGATGGTGATGGGGGCTGGGAAATATTTCCGGATGGGCAATAGGGACTGTGTTTTTGTGTGGCTCTGGTCTGGGTTTTAGGTCCTGTCATGTCTTTGATCACCCATCGGGCGGATTTATTGGGATCGATTTGTGATCGATAAACACAAGTGTC